CAGGTCTCGATTCTCCACGCGTTGTAGAGAGGACCATAAACAAAGAGTCTCAGTACATCTGTAGATAACCTGCATCAGAGAAGTACTTTTATCGCTAAAAACCTTATCATTTCTATATAGCCAAAGCGACCAAATAACGGCAAGCGCTCCCACCCTGAGAAAAGTTCTAAACCTGTGATCAATCTCATGTAACCAGTTGTCAAATACATTAGCAACACTACAAGGAGGATACAAGCCAGAAGCTATTTGGATGACTGACCATATAGAACGAGCCAATTTGCATTGGAAGAATATAAATGTTTTATTGTCTCATCATGGTGACAAAAGACACATTACGGAATTCCATGCCAATTCCTCTTAATAAGGTTATCTTTAGTAAGAATGACTCCGCGACGAAGATACCATGCAAAATTTTTATTCTTAAGAGGTATCTTCTTCTTATTATCAACTGGCACATCAGACTGGATTAAGACTCTATACATAGAATCCACTGAGAATTTTCCATTCCCGTGAAGGTTCCAACGAAATACATCAGACCCATGTGATAAGTGCACCGTGGACAACCGCTGGAGCAAGGTGTTCCACGATTGGAGTCTGGGTCCAATTAAATCTCTTTTGAACGTCACATTTGGTGGAAATGATTCCATTACCGTGGCGATAGTATCACCCTTGTGGCGCACAATATTGTATAGAGCTGGATATTGTTCTTGGAGTGTGGCATTTCCTAGCCACCTGTCCTCCTAGAATCTAATTTTCGTGCCGTCCTTAATCGAGAAGGATCCATAGCAGAAGAAATATTTCTTCGTAGCCATTAAACCCGCCCAAAAGTAGGAATCCCCAGGCTTGGTCCTTTGTTAAAAAATTGCTAACAATTGAACAGAGTCTAAATTGCTGTTCTAGGCGATGTGTATGCAATTAGAACGGGTGGTCAGAAAGGTTTTTATTCAATATGGATGACAACATAATCTTCTGATTGGTCCACCTCTTCATAGTTTTGGTCTCATAGGGCTTAACTGTTGCCAAGATGCCATTTTTATACTTTGTAAGGAAAATCAATTGTTAAGAATCCCTAGCAGAAGGGAGCGACATGTTGTGGAGGAGGTCGTCAATGTCGGGGAAGTAGGCGTGTCATATCTCATAGCCAGACTCGGCTCATTCAGGAAACACGCCACGTGGGCGATGTGGGCTATGAAGGAGTGCGTGTGTATGTACCCTATTCTCAAACTTTTAGTGGTGTGTGAAGAAGTCAACCTTAAATATTGCTAACGTCCTTCACAACTGGGGTGGGACTAAACTTTCCACGCTCCCCATGTCATGAATGAAGCATATGAACCTCCAGGATCTTCAGGAACAATTGGAAATAGTAAATGGGCTAAAAACCCAATAATTCCAACAATTCCCCATCGATCCTAAAGGCAGATAGAGTTTGCCTATGGTTGCCGAATGACTTTCCCGCAGATAGGAGATTATACTCCCTCCGAAAACTGATATAAGAGCGTTTAGACGGAAGTACGTCATACCCCGAGCCCTTTTCATGAGTTTATCAGAAAGCACTCAACTCTCATAGGATGCGGCGCTTAACAGTCTAACTTATTAGGTGTGTTCATAAAGATATTATGTATGACAACATCTTGGCATACCCAAGCCACTCAGAACACACTAAAGTAAAAGTAAAGATCAACCAACATACAAATTATGAGAGAATTGCATGATAATGGAGTGTGTGTTTATAAAATAAACACTCCCTTCTCAGTTAACCAATAGCCCGTCTCATCAATTCTACTTCACGGGATCATCAATCATATAGAGTGGGTTACCACCATGGACAACTTGTGCAGTGAGTTCCAAAGTCATCTCGACATATGCCTGTTTTTTCAGTCATGTTCATTTTGTACATATTCTGCTCCTTAATAAAAAGGCAGCTCTCCTGCCGGTTGCTCGGAGAAAAAAGAAGGTTTGTGCCAATAGAAAATCTCTGTTAGCCTGGCCAATATAACTCTTGTGTGCATTTCTACTTAAGACCATGACTTCAAGATATGTCAGCTACTGGAGTCAACTACATGAACACTGAACATGTCAAAACTGAACAGTGTATTGACTACCCATCCTGCATTTAAACAGGGAAACATATACACATCATTTGTACATGGTGAGCCTGGAGGCAGAGCATCCAGAACATCAGTCTACAAGCCAGTCCAGGTTGTAACACTCTTCTGCTACCTGCACACGGAGGTCCGGGATGACCTGCTCGGCTTCCCTCCACAGCATCGCCGTTTCCTCGTCGCACACGACGTGCCCGAGGGACTTCAACGACGAGGAGGACCTCGGGAGGCTCCTCAACCGCGAGCATTCCCGCATGTCGATCTTCTCTAGGTTTGTCAAGTGGCCAAGCTCTTCTGGAAGGTCCGTAAGGTTAATGCACTGCGATATGTCCAGGTATTTCAGCCTCTTCAGGCTGCATACCGACGGTGGAAGCTTCCACAGTGCCGGGCAGGCGTACACCCGTAGGATGCTCAGGCAGTGCAGCTTGCCCAGCTCATATGGCAGCTCTGTGAGGTCATGGCAGTTTGACAAGGAGATGCTTTCCAGAGAGCTGATTTCACATACACTAGGTGGCAGCTCCTTCAGATCTACGCAATGGTCAATGGTGAGGTTGGATAAGCGCGGAAACGTCATGGAGAGATCCATGGTCGATCCTCTTAGACTGTTGTTCAGCTCACAAAGGACGAGAGAGATCTTGCGCAGGTTCTTCAGTGGGATTGTGCTTTTCGGCAGTGGCGGGAGGGTAATCTTTTCCAGCCAAAGACTCCTCAGGTCACTTAGTGTGGTGAAGGCAGATAAATTGTCAAGGGCTGCACTGGTAGTACCATAGTTGATCAGCACCAGGGCCTTCAGGTTCTGCATTGTTGCAATGAACGACGGGAGGTAATACACACTTGAGGCGAAGTTGAGGATAAGAACTTCTGCCTTGGGGAAGCTCATCTGGAACCAGTCAGATTCTTTCATCTCACCTGAAATTTGAAATCAATTGATCAGATCATTTTGTACTTCTAGAGAGAACTCAATGAGGGCAATATTCAACAAGATATTGCGAATGCATGTTACTGTAGGGCTTGCTGAAACAAATTATTTTCCGTGAAGAAATAGTACTGAAGTAAAATTGTGTTATATACAGTACTAATTAGGTTCAGTTTGCTAAAGAACTAAACATCAGTTTAGTACAATAGCAGGTGATTTAAAGGAGATAAAGATCTGAAGTTCCATGCAATTTCATTTGAGGAAGACCACTACACTATTCAACATTTTTTCTTCAATTACATCTCAAATTCTGTAAGAGCAGCTTTCAGACTGGACTCGCAGAAGATACTGCACGGCAAATAACATGCAAGAAAAAACCAAGTTGATGAACAAATAATCACCTGTATGAATAGAAACAATCTGAGCTTCAAAGGGAAGGTCCTTATTCCTCTGCCAATCTCTCGGAAGCGATTCTTCTCTTCTTGGCATCACTAACCGCCTCCGTTTGTTCAGAGAATCACGACCGCTCATGTGAAGTGCCAGATCACGCAACACATCATGTTGCGTCACTGAGTAGTCATGATAGTTACTGTATAAATCTCCAGCTTTATTCCTGCATAAAGAGCAACAAAGAGTCAAAGCTGTTTCTTACAGTATATGAATTCTCAGATGATTTCAAGCATATATGTGCAATACGTACTGTGCATCATTAACTAGGGTAAGCAGGTTCTTGTTCGATAGCTCCATGAGGATGGCGAAAGCATCTGGCTTGTCAAGATCATGTATCTCCATCCAAATATTGATCAACACATCAAGAGGGATCTTCTTATCCTCTGGGAAGCAACCCAGGTCAAGGAAACATTCTCTAACCTTTCCTGACAAGCACTCGACACTTGCTGCCATTCTCTCCAGGAGTTTGGTCTCATGTGAGTCCGATATAGACTCTCCTCGTGACAAGCGGTTCTTCGCGCTCAACCATATCATAGGAGGCTGATCACGCAAGGATGCGCCGATAACCTTGAGAGCTAGAGGAAGCCCTCTGCACTCGGCAGCAACCTGCTTAACCAGTTTCTTGTCAGCAGTCTGAGGAACAGACTCCTGACCGAAGGCAGCACTGCAGAAGACAGACAAAGCCTCCTCTTCGCCGAGTAATTTCATTTCATAAGTCCGGGTGACTAACGTTGGGAACTTCAACCTTGATACGACAAGGGTCTTGCAGCCAGGGAACTTGAAGACCAGCTCCTCGAGCTGTGAGAGAGACCACACATCATCAAGTATAACAAGGACTGGTCCTCGGTCCCTCGGCCCTAACTTGAGCTGCCATTCCGGGATCTG